AAATGTCAATTGTGAATTGACGAATATACTCTTCCCTTTAAATTGTGAAATGACAAATATACTTTTCCCTTTAAAAATATATTTTTTATTTAAATATGAGGGTATATTCATTATTTCACAGTTCTTTATTGAGAAATTGGATGAAAATGATGGTTTGCACAATCAAATGTGTAATTAAAGGTGAAAATGTCAAACACAATTAAAGGTATGGGCGTTTTTTCGCAACAATAGTGAAAGATGGGGACATTATGTACTAATTACTCTTTTAATAATTTATTTGGGACTAATTGGGAGTATAGTTGCAATTAGCTTTTTTTATTCTTTTATTTAAAGAGAATAGTATGTTCGTCATTTCACAATTTTTAATTGAGAAAATAAATTAAAATGACCTTTTGCTCAATAAAAGGCAGAAATAATGTGAAAATGCCAAAAAATGAAAGATATGGGCGTTTTTCACAATAATAATGAAAAGTGAGGACATTATGTGCTAATTACCTATTATTGTTTCCTTCATCGAATATGTTGGAGAATCTCTAATTAAGTTGATTATTTTTATTGTATAATAATATCATGAGCAACCTCGCATACACGAGTATTTATGTGCCTTAGGATTACTTATAAAAGTCAAAATAATTATCGGTATTTAGATATAAATAACAAGAAATTTGGTTCTTAATGAATTTAGAAAGATATTAATATTTTTTTATCGAGAAAATTGAGAATAACGTGAATACTGAGTTATATTAACAAGAAATTTATTCCCCAATATTTGGTAGCTAATGGCAAGTCCCCGATGCCTCAAGTTAGGGATGCCAATCCAGCTAGAGCGGCAAACGGCTCATTAGAACTGAACCTCGTTTCTTAGTGTTGACAAGAGCCCGAACCGGCCCGCGTCAGCCACATCAACTCCGGCCATCTTGGCTTGTGTCTGAAAATAAAACAGCTACCTGCTTGTAAAGATAGCTGTACAACTACCTTTTAAAAAGAAAAAAAAAAAGAGCCAACTCGACTCGGTTCGGAAAGACCCTAGCTGGGCCCCATTTTTTTGGTTGAGCTTCAACTCGCGAAGCGGATCGGCTTGCTTATTTAAATCCCTACTGGTGTCCCACATATTGTTAATTTGTACAGTCCGTCAATTTCTATGTTTCGTAACTTGTTCATATACAGAGTTTGTCAAAAGGCATTTGTTAGGCTATCATAGAACCTTTACCAACATTCCTTGTTGTAAATCTGGATCAGAGTAGAATTGGTGGGATAATATGTAGATTAAGGCTGTCAATGAATTAAATTTTTTCCAAATCCGATAAAATTAAGGGAGATGGATTTAGGGTTTTAGTCTGATAATCCGATCAAAATTCGTATTCGATAATCCATTTTTATTTAAATAGATCAAATATGAATATATGTCAATTCGATTTGCTAACAATACAATCTGATTTGTTATAAATAATTGAGTTGGTAAA